TTCAGTTAGTAGCTGAATGCCTGTGAAAAAATTTCTCTCATCTTAGCTTGTGATTGGTGCATAAGAGCCAGTCTCCATCCTTTCTGAGGGTCCTTCACCTTTTGAAGGTACTGCCTTCTAAATACTGGTAACTCTCATACCTACAGTATTGTAAGAGGGGATTTTTCAAAGACACGTCGACCTGTGGTAATGTCTGAGACCAGACGAGATTGTCATGATCAGCTCAAAATACCATGTGGGACCTTCCTGCAAGGACACCCCAAATGCTCTTCCTCTAGAGACCCAGGCTCCAAGTCATCCCTCGTCTCTAACGTGCCGTCTGCACTGAAGGTGGGAGTGTGCGTCTCAACTCCAGGAGACACACGTGTTAGCTCTGCTCAAACTGGTGTGCTAAAAATAGCAGGGTGGTAGCTCTGCCTGGTTGCCCAGGCCCCCTACGTATGTGCTCTGATGAACAGTCTAAGCCAACACCTGTGCTCCCCCCAGCTACTCTGGTAGTCTTAGTGCACTAGCTCAGGCAGTGCTAGCTGGGAAGCTCACTGTCAGCTGCGGCGTAGATGGACACGAAGACTGGAGAAGAAGCAATCAGAGGCTGACATGGGTACCAGTGGCCAAACTCACCAAGAACCCGAGATGCAACCTAGCAGAGGAATTGACGTCTCCTTTGGAGACTTTGGAACACCCCACCCAGCAGCAGGGCTGCACCCTTTGAAGGCGGTGTGCTCCCCTTCCTGACTGACCTGTGCAGTGTCACTCTTACCCAGTAGTAACCCCTCTCCCATGGTCAGAAAGTGGGCCTCAAGGTGCCATCTGCAGTGAGATGTCACTGGCTCTGGACCAGCCTTGGCCAGGATCCTTGCAGTGTGGAGGACTGTTGCTGCACAGGTCGAAGTCACCTTCCTGGCACGAAGGAAGACAAGTAGCAGTGTCATTAGCGAGGCCCTCCATGTCTGAGTCAGGTGTTGCCCTTTGCAAGTAGCTTGAGGTTACAACCAAGGGACTGCAGCAAATGCTTCTGTCCCCTCCCAAAGAGTCATTCTCATCATTAGGGTAGAGAGGAACACCAGTGCCAGTGACTGATTTTGAGTCATTCCACTACCTCTGGGTTGTGAGCTGTAAACAGAGCCTCATAATACTTTCCTGGGAAACAGCCACTCTCTTCTTCAAAGTACAGTAAAGATCAGAATGATCAGACTCTGTTTGTTGGGGAAGTGTCGGCGTGGTTTCTGTAAAGGGAAGTCATGCCAAACCAGTCTACTAGAATTCCTTGAGTAAGTCGACAACCATATGGACAAAAGGGGCATGTCTACACTAGGAAACCATAATAACTCCCAAAATAACAATCAAAATAGTGTACCCTCATTGTGGGGAAGCCTTGAAATTACGCACTCCCTTGACTTAGAGCCCCAAGATGCCCTGGGGAGTAATTCGTTTGAATTACACTAGATTTGCGTACATGTAGACCTGGTCTTAGATGCCAAAACTTGGCAAATTTGTACTAGTGTTGGGCTGTTCAGGGCATTGCTTTCACTTGCCTCTCTGGTCTCAGGCTTTCTGCATGTTTTGCAGTATTGCTGTCTTAGCTAGCCAAACCAGACTCGTAGTAGACAGAGTGGCAGGGAAAGGACGAAATAAGATCATAGAATCATAGAACTGGAAGAGACCTCAGAAGGTCATCAAGTCCAGCCACCTGCTCTAGGCAGGACCTGTTCCAACTAAATCAATCCGGCCAGGGCTTTGTCAAGCCGAGACTTAAACACCTCTAGGGATGGAGACTCCACTACTTCCCTAGGGAACCCATCCCAGTGCTTCACCACCCTCCTGGTGAAATAGTTTTTCCTAATATCCAACCTGGACCTCTCCCACCACAACTTGAGCCCATT